TTTTTTTTTTTATCTTTCTAGGACGACAATTGAGCTTTACTAAAAACTTTCAGTCCTCTTATACAACGCGCAGTATAATTGCTATTAACAAGTCTAATAAAAACCTTGAAAAAAAAGTAAATTATTCACCAACCTCCGTTTAGTCGATGAACTGCACACCGCCACGCGTACCGCGCAACGGTGCTTGGCTGCGGATTATCTATTTCATTTCTTCATACAAATCGTTTTTACCATACCACGAGTCATTACCTGTGCCATTAATCGCATTACTGCATTAACTTGGTAGATTTGTCTTTAAGAACTCCCCGCAATTTGAAGGTTTTGCCCTACACTGTGAATCAAAATAAATTTTAAAAGTGTAAGACTAGGCAAAGGTTCACTTGCCTTTTTAGATCTAATTTTCTTCCCCGCCTAGATCACTGTGATTATTTACAGCTTTGCTAATTAGTCGACCTTTGGTCGAAGTTGTAATACTTTTTACAAACCCTTACCATCCAGATTTAAGTGTTTTTTTTATTTTTAATAATAATATGCACTTTTGAAATCAAGGTAATTATAATACTTTGACCCAACAAATAGGGTGTATAGCGAAAAAGGTATTATGATGTTAGCAATATCATCAGTTCTTGTTACAAGAAATTTGGAAACTGAACGCTGTGAGTAATTAGCTACATAACCACAACCAAAAAACTAACAAGACCTTATAATAATTGAAGATCTCTTGAGTGTTGATCTATTGAAAAAACGCAATCCTACAGATAAACCACTATTATTATTAGATTTTTACGCATAAATAAAGAAGTTTGACTCCCCTGTATAAAATCCTGCTACTCATTCAGGAGATAAATTGTTATAATCTGCATTATTTTTAATCTCCGGTTTTTATGCTGGAACAGTTAAAGGGAATGCTTCATTTAATTCCTTATATAAACCTAAGAGACGTTTTTAAGTTAACAATTTGTTGTAATCCCTCTGAAGTATTATGTCATTTATTCAACATAAATAACTTGTTTGAATACCATATAATAAGAATACTTCTTACTTTACAAAGGGAATTCTCAAAATGAGAATAATAACGTAACTATATCTTTCAAAATGCTAACTATAAACTCCACAGTATAATAATTATTAGGTTTAGATATAAAACCTATACCTCAAAAGTTTTGGATTGCTAAAATCAATGGTCTATCTCTTTCATGCATTTTTATTTGCAATATAGCTTGGACAGTTCATCCTGTTTTGTATCTTGGATTTTTCCAAATTGTAATAACAAAAAAACCTTCCCCATCTAATAGACCAGTTATAAATCAAGGATTTAAAGAAGGTGAGCAAAAAGAAAAATCTCTTACTCCTATTGTCCCAGAACTTAGGATGCTAGGTCTTCGTCTAGGGCAAGGAAACATTATCTTTTAATCCTTTATTAATTTTGAAACTAAGAATAATATAATTTATTATGAGTATTGGTAGTAAAATGGCTGTTAGTTATATTATTGCTGTAAGATCAGCAGTATGTGATCAAGGAAGAAATAAATCTATAATATGCTACTAATATTCCTAAACCTATTGCAGATTCTGCTCCTGCTATTGTTATAATATAAATAGCAAAAGTTTGTCCTAAAATATCATCAAAACTAAGTGAACTTATTAATATTAAAAATGTTATTGATAATAACATAATTTCTATTGATATTAGCATTAATATGATATTTTTTCTATTTAAAACGAAACCTAATATCCCTATAAGGAATAAAAATATTGAAAAATTCATTGTTTAAAATATTATATTTTGATTTATCTATACTATATTATAATAATATATATATATTTATTTATTAATTTAATAATATATATATATATATATA